CTGGTGTCTGTTGTGATGTTTCCCCTTTCATCTCTGATTTTGTTGATTTGGAGGTGCTCTTTCTTTCTTTTGGTTAAGTGGGCTAGCGGTCTGTCAATCTTATTTATCTTTTCAAAGAACCAGCTCTTGGAATGTTGATTCTTTGTATTGTTTTCTTTCATTTGATTTCATTTATTTCTGCAAGAATTTTTGTTATTATATCTTGTCTGCTGGGTTTGGGTTTCATTTCCTGTTGCTTTTCCAGTGTCTTGAGTTGCAATGTTAAGTCGTTTATTTGTGTTCTTTTCTATTTTTTAATGTAGACACTTAGAGCTATAAACTTCCCTCTAAGGACTGCTTTCAATGTGTACCAGAGGTTTTGTTGTGTTGTATTGTCCTTTTCGTTTAGTTCCAGCGATACTTTTTATTTCTTTCTTAATTTCTCCTTTGACCCATTCACCATTCAGGATTGTGTTGTTTAATCTCCATGTGTTCCTGTGGTTACTGGAGTTTCTTCTGGTGTTGACTGTAAGCCTTGTTGCATTGTGGTCTGATTGAATGCATGGAATTATTTCAGTCTTTTTGTATGTGTTGAGGTTTGTTTTGTGCCCCAGTATATGGTCGATTTTGGGGAAGGTTCCATGGGGTGCTAAGTAGAAAGTATTTCCTTTGGTGCTTGGGGCTTGGGTGGAATATTCGGTAATGTCTGTTAGGTCCATTTGATATATGGTATTGTTTAATTCAGACGTCTCTCTGTTAATTCTCTGCCTTGTTGACCTATCTAATGGCAACAATGGGGTATTGAAGTCCCCTACTGTCAGTGCGTTGGGATTAATCTGGGTCTTAAACTCCTGTAGTACTGCTTTTATGAAGTTGGGTGCACCAGAGTTTGGTAAATATATGTTCATGCTTGTAATATCTTCTTGGTTTATTGTTCCTTTGGTGAGAATGAAGTGGCCATCTTTGTCTCTTCTGATTAGTTTTAGTTTAAAGTCAAGAGGTTAGCCCAGGTGTTTGGGGTGCCAAGACAAGAAATGGGCCAGCACCCAGGCTAGGAAGAGAGACGTGGAGGGGGAGCTAGGAAGGTGAAAGAGGCTGGGGGAGAGTCAAGGCAAGGTGGGCGTGCTGGACTTACGCAGAGAAAGTGCTGGCACCAGGACACTAGTGGCTGTGCAGCCCAGGAAGCAAAGGGCAACACTGACTTGAGTTTGGTAGTGTCAGGCACAGACGTGTGTGTGTGTGTGTGTGTGTGTGTGTGTGTGTGTGTGTGTGTGT